GCCCCGGCAACCTCTTAAGTCCTCCGCGGCTCCATACCTAACGATCTCTGGGTATATAAATTATAAGTACCTTCAAAAATGTCATGACCGTAATCAATCTGAGACATTCAAAATACATCCAGAGCGTACAGCGCGTCGCGTTCCGCGCGCGCGCCTCAAGGAGCCATCAGACCACAACAGATGGGGCCTAACAGGGCTGATGCCGATACGGAGCCGCGGAAGACTTAACGGGTTGCTAGGGCTCCGGCTCGAAGTCCAGGAGTAGTTAGTTTGTAAGAGCCTGACACTGGAGAAGACATTGGATGATTTTCCCCCTCAAAAAAAAAGACATTCGAAATACATAAGGTAGACTCAACAACAGTGCCTGGCGTTTTACATCAAACAGTAGCATGATCTAACAAAGCAGTTACTTAGCGAAAATAGTTTTATAAGTAGGTATAAGTATTCGACAAAAATACTAGTATATTCACATGGTCGGATTTAGCCAGTGGGACATATTTAACCCTGGCGATGCCGAGATAACCTCGCGTGTTCTTTATTACGGTTTAATTCAACAAAACTGAGTACAACCCGCTTTGAGATGCCGACCTGTGTCTTTAGTAGGGTGACTATGGATGTTTTTGTAGGGTTATTATTGTTGGGAATTAATTTTGATATTTGTTAACGATGATGTTTCAAAAGTGCCAAATTATGGTTCAATTGAAATAAGTGTTTTTGAGTTTGTGTTTAAAAATGATAGTTATAATCTGAAAAAAATGTTTAGTATTTTATTTTGATCACTGATACTAAACTGTATTTTTAAACAGTTCATTGTGTCCACATGATTTTGTGTGTTTGTTTGTTATTTGTCTTTGAAAGACACTAAAGATTCTATGGAACACTAATAAAAACTGGACGAAAAGGGGCAATGTAGTACTTCTGAGACAAAATTCTTTAGATTTTAAATTAAAAAAATATTAAAGTATATACACTTAATTTGCAAATCAAAACACACAAACATAAATAAAGAAACATTTTAATCTGAAACAGATAAACGGAAACGATACACTGTACCTCCTTACATTTTATTTAATATCACATTTCATTTCATATTACAAAAGAAAGACTATCTGAACTAACACATACACACATACAGACAGATGTACCTACCTACAAATGTCAAAATAAGGCCCTCTATCTTACGGTAGCTTTGTAACATAAAACGGGACAGTCCGATGAAAGCAGTGAATTATGGTTGCCCTACAGTTTCGTATAAAGTTGTAGCGAAATAGTTTTTTTCTTGTTTTTCTTTTATAAAAGTTACGATCGTAGAATATGATGTTATATTGTGTTTTGTTTATAAGTTTATTCTATTAATAGATTTGTTTTGTTAGTTTATCGAAGAGCGATTTCTTTGATATACTTAAATTTGATTCTGGATGTTAGGTAACTGTTTAGCCTTCAAAGAGTTATGTTTCATTATGATTACCAAGACAAACGAAATCATGTGTTTAAAATGTACCATAAAGGAAACACGTACTAAGATTTGTTTTAATCAAAATTATTCATGACTAGCTACTTCCGCGCGGTTTCACACTCTGCTCAGCTCTTATTGGTCGTAGCGTGATTTTTTAAAGCCTATAGCCATCCTCGATAAATGCGCTATCAAACACATAAAGAATTTTTCAAATCGGACAAGTAGTTTCGGAGATTAGCGCGTTCAAACAAACAAACAAACAAAACAAACTCTTCCGCTTTATATAATAGTATAAAATACTATAAGATAAGATTTAATGAGACCTCAAGCTCGATTTTTTTTATGGCAAAAGCCGGTAAACAAGCAGACGGATCACCTGATGGTAAGCAATCGGCGTCGCCCATGGACACCTGGAACACCAGAGGCGTAACAATATTTAACGTCTTCTTGAGCAATACCATGAACAACACTACTAGCAACTAATCCTATCAATAATATAGTAATCACAAGAAAAATCTATTAATTTACAATTTGCACTAAGAATCGTGCGTGGGCAATAAAATGTACAGTCGCCGACAGATAATGTGTACAGTCACGAAGTACATATCCGGCGCTAATACAGTGAGAACGCATTACTTGTACATCAAACTGACAAATTATAATAATGTATATAGTTATGTCAGACTTAGACATTCTTCAAAGGATATATTAACATAACTGCCTCATTGGCCGAGTGGTCACAAGTGCGACTGCCGGGCCCTAGCTCAATATTTAGGAAATTTATATTCGATTTCCGGGTTGGGCAAAGTACCTATTACTGGGATTTTCAAATTAAACTCAGTAGTACCCTTGAAATCTGCCCGGTATATGGCAATAGGCTCACCGCCTATTACATGGGACTCATAACATAAATAGTGAAAAGTTGGTGTTACATTGTGTTTTAAGTGCCGCATTGGGCATGACTACGGTTTATCTCGAAAAAAAACCGCCTGCGAAACGTGAAGATTATGGCAAACCCCTTATATAGAGAAGGTATGATCCATAGTCTAACGAGGACTTTCACAGGCTTCTAAACCTATTACCAGGCCACCAGCTAGAAGTAGGAGCAGGAATGAAGTGGTTTTTAGTCAGTAAGAGCCTAACACTAGCACAAGCAGAGAAGTCATAAGATGATTTTGCCCCCTTAAAAAAATCTTATTGATATTTATGATGATGAAACAAAAACCATACTTCGTCTGAAGGTATTTGATTCTCGGATTAATCGGTCTGAACAATATACAAGGGCAGGGCAACAAGCTATCAAAAGCTCATCGACATGAAATTACTTAATTCGCGACTCACGAAGCGGTAATTACCAAATTTTTGAACAGGCCTTACGCAATAGAAACATGTGACGATTTCCTTCGCACTTTTGGACCGAATGGTCGTGTCTGTCCGTCTGTCTGTGGCAGCCGACGTCACGAACTAGAGTCACGATTGGTCCGCCACTCGTGTCCTTGTGGACGATGTGAAGATATTTTGGAAAACTACCGCTTTCACTGTTGTTTTAGAAGTTTAGATTATTTTGGCTTGTATCAAAGAGTAATAGTGGACAGAGGTTAGGAAATTTTGGTCCTCTATTATCAGAGGTTAAGATTCATTTTGGATTGCAATTAACTAGAATGAATAATTCAGCGGAAGTTGGAGAATTCTATATTCTAGTCATAAAATGGTTTTGCTGAGCTGAAGATTATGAATTCCTACGTCTTTACGCATTCTTTCGAGACGGTGCAAAATATGTCTATTAGATCCTTTTGACTTATCCCATAGATTCCTAAGCTACTTAGCAAACAAATCTTTTTCCATACGACTCACTCATAGACCATCAAACATGGCTTATCCTAAAGATTCTTTAGACTATAGGCTTTAGCAAATAGCAAATCTCTTCCCATACCTACACGTTATTCATCTGGTGATGAGTTTTGATGGTTCAAAGCATCAGTTTCAAAAATAACAAATCCAAAATTTCTCACGCAATTTTCCTCAACCATCTTTATCAGTATATCAGTTAAGCCATACCACAACGGACACTACATCAGCCGATGACTCAAACAATACCACAAATGATTTAAAAAATATAAATTCAACATCTTCATTTCATCCAGTTTAAGTTAAAAGCGGATAAGATAATAAAACACGTGTCTACGTCATCGTAAAGTAGCGTGCGCATACGCAACCCGACACCGGTGATCCTATCGCGGGTACCCATACAACAGTAGCTACGGATACTATGAAAGTTAAATAAGCTTGGAATTGTATGAAGTAGTCTGATTTAGTTCTGGTTTTTGAATGGATTATGGTTATAGATAGAATTATAGAAATGGTTGAGATCAAAGCAAGAAAAAACATACATTTATTTGGCACTGATCACAATGATTTGCGATCACTTTATTTTGGCTTAAATAAAAATGAAATGGTTGAAGTCATCAAAAGAGAGATTATATTATTGTGGTGTATGGGGTAGAGAACTGTCGAATAAAAGAACAAATTACAGAAAACTGAAAAGCGTTTCCCAATCCGAGAATCGAAAATGAGGCCTTAATAAAATTTCAATTTAACTGGCATATGGCACTTCGGACAGTGAATATAAAAAATGCCTATGTTTTGTTTAACGAGTTGTAAGTTAGTAGTCGTATGAACAAAAATACTTTCAACGAGACGTAATCACACGGATTGGTTTCTAAAAATGCAGTCACCTCAAGTATTAGCGTTGGTATAGAAACCTAATCACACATCATCAACAGCCTATAAATGCCCACTGCTGAGTCAAGCCTCTTCTTACACGAGAAGGTTTGAGCATTAATCACCACGCTTGCTTAATGCGGTTTATCGATTTCAAACTTATAATATGAAATTATAAGGTTTCCTCACAATGTTTTCCTTCACCGTTTGTCAGTAGTGTCTGAATAATCTTAGAAAGTACATATAACTCGGAAAAAGTCACATTGGTACTTGTCGTTGGTAGGTTTAGGTCTTAAACCGCCGCTCCACCACGACAGGACCAACTTGATGAAACTTTATAAATAGTAGGTACTAATAAAAACAGCCACGCGATACAAGTATTTAATTTGTTCACAAAAAGAGCTAAATTGCCCTGTCATTGAATGGTAGCTCATGTCTACTGAACAATGGTTGTCTTACTTTTGTTTTTTAATCATCTGAAGTGTGTTTGGGATTAATTTTTTTATGAGTGTTATGTTAGTATTAACTACTTCTTGTAATGATAGCTAAAGATATTATGGTTGAGTCAACGTAAGTCCTACAAAGCGCGAGGTTTGATATTTTGGTAGTGAAAATGATTACAACATGAAATATGTTCAGTGTTTCTGATAATAGGCTCATATACGACTTAAAAAGTGTAAATTATCTGCTGTAAATCCGTTTTATGATTATCTTTTCTTTCTAAAACTTTACTCCCTGTATTACAAATACTAAATGTCGCAAATGAACAAGCCAATGAAGACCTTAAAGCAGTGGACTCATAATATTTTTTCAATTGTTTCAGGCGCCCAAAACAGACGGACGGCGATAGGTCTGGCTATGGAATTGTTCGAGCAGCACCAAGGAACGCATATATTACAGGTAAGAGAAGATATACTATCAATAGTAACGGAACTAGCTAATAATTTGGTTAAATTAAAATGCACCTTACACAGATAGTGATAAAGAAGGTTTTAACTTGTGTACAAATTCTAACCTGTGCGATAGTTACGTAAATTCTGTTTTATGGAGTAATGATAGTCATGGAACATAAAAGGATAGACTAAAGTGTTGGTAAGGACTTATAGTTTTGTTCAACAGAAGAGGAAATCAAGCTATGTATTAGGGAAACAGTTAATACCGAAAAAAACAATATTAAATACCTTCCTAACCATCATAATCGATCGCAATTACTAATAACCAAGTCACCACTAGCCAAAGAGACGTCCAATAAAAAAGAGCGCACAAAACTAATTCTTGCGCCACAGATAAAAAAACTAAAATGTGCTGCGCCTAACATATTCAAACTTGACTTTCCATTGAGCAATAACTTGGCCGACTTAACGCTTTTTTACGAACAAAACATACAATCGAAAACACACAAAAGACTGCGACACACGGCATAATAAAAGTGAAAAAAAATTCAATTTAATATTTCACAGATTTCTCAAAAATTTCATAACGGTCTTAATTGTACATGTATACTTTGTTGCAAGTTGATAGGGTTAAGTAAAAAACTCGGCCAAGAGCGAATAGATTACAATAAAACACGTTCCGTACACAATATCGAAGTGGACAATGATCATAATGTTACCGTTGTGGTTAATGATTGCGTTAAATTGTCAATTTCTAAAGTTATTGTTGATATTTGTGGAAGGGAAAACCTTGGTGATTTTAGTCCCTTCGGTGGTTTGAAATCTGTTGATGAATTTAGACAGTTTTGGGGAATTTAATAAAATAGTTTCTCTACCTACGCAGGATGTGGAGTGGCATACTATAGAAAGATTATCGAAGAAAACGCAGACAGAGAATTTAACGTAGAATCAAAATGATCAAGGTTTTTGTCAGTCATACTACTTATGTTATATATGTACATGTATCATGACAATTTGTCACAAGGAAAAATATCTTTAACAAATTGTATTGAACCCTATATTCTACATTTAGAAGTTGAAGGAAGTCGCGAAATCAATTTCAATACCTTATATATACCTCAAATACGAAATCAAGACAATTCAGATTACCTTTACGTCCTTAACATCGAGTTTCATTATTGTCCTACTGATCTCTAAAACTGCAATAACACCTATTCTATCACGTAAATTATCATTTTGCAATCGATTCTACGTCATTATAATATTGTGGGCTGCGGTTTACACTGCCAGCTGTAAAATATCTCAGTACGTGATGCTTTGTCTATTTTTTTCTACATAATGTAGAAAATCAACTATTTTGCGGGACTATTTGTAAGGTTTTTGTGAAAAATATTAAGGACGGACACGAAGGAACGCGAGTTTCTAAGTTTATACATGTTTTATTGCGAAATTTACGTGATTGGTTCTTGTTCTTTGCATTACAACGGTTTCTCTGTTTTGTCATAAGCGTTTGATTAGGTTACTGTTAGTCAAATTTTACTATTAGTGGCACCTGTCAACCTGAAATCGGTATTTAAGATAGATTAGAATTATCTTCGACCAGTTTCCAAGGAACAGACAGAAGCATCAACTAATGTATCAGTAACCTAACTGCGATCTACAAGACATGTGCCGAGAGGAACACCACTTCAGAAAGCGTTTGTTAAGCATTAGATGTTTACTGGCTCATGATGATGATACACTTCATCAATATTTGCTGTATACTTTATGACATATTAATAACGTATGTCAGTTGCCCTTGTCATTCTAAGTTTGGATGTTAATTCACATCATAAACTTTTCTATTTTTGCTTATCTCAAGACAACTATGACTTAGATCACCCATTGTTTTTATTGCACTATTTCTATTGGATTATTGTCATCGTTCAAGTGACAAATAAAGAAAAGTGGATAACGTCTTCATCATCCGCCATTGCATTTTGGTGAAACTTTGTTTTTGTTTAAACAAACAATGTTAACTTAAAAAGTGATTACTTAATCTCAGCTTAACTTTTAACAACAAAAAGTATATTTTGGTAATCTATAAGAGATACCCTTTTTGCTCTTTTGTAATTTGAGGCCCTTGATTCAAATTTTCGATCAGAAGCTGTCGAACAAAAACATAATTTGTGTAGTAGCCTTTAAAATAACTAGAACCACGTCCATAGACGTTTTTAAATCGACTTGAGACCATACAATGGTCTATTACGTCTATAATCCTCATTTTTTACTGGCCAGTACCGTTTAACCGCGGATTTGTGATAAAAAATTAAATCATTTTGATCTGTGTATTTTGTCAACCGTGCATCTCATTATAATTTTTAATTTTAAATCTAGTTTGGATTTAAAGTGGATGGAAGCGACGCCATTGATGAAAATGCTATGGAAAAACAGACGTTAATGAAATATAGGAATGAAATCGTGTTTTGGATTTTTTGGGGTATTTTAATAGACAACTAGGCTGGTTTCAAATAGGGTACCTATTACAATATAGTGTGTTTTTTTAACTAGAGCACAATTAGGTGTTAGGATTAAACAGCTTAAACCTTATGAAATTACTATAAACACCATTAAATGTACTTAGGCATTCATAAATAAAATCATTTTATATTTTTCTCGACCAATTTTGAAGAATTTTGATGTCTTACATTTCTTTTTCGCCTCATCCCGAATCAAGTAATTTATTTCTTTTAAATTTTGTTCTTGTCTAACATTCAGTTATCTAATTTTTAGAGAGGATCAGGTAGTTGTCACTTCTAGTAAACAAATGCACAACAAATCGAGTTCATTTATTTTGGCTCGTGATGTTTTTCATCTATACGAACTTTTGCTTGTTTACTGTTTTTGCCGACCGTCACAAACTTGATGTAGAACTATTACTTTTAAACGTATGGTGTGCAAAACTGTTGTCCATTTTACTGAATTCTTCTATTTTCGAATTTATTCCTTATTCATATCGTAATAAAAGTCCTGTTTAATTTTGTTATTAATGATTCCAAAATTAAATGATGGATATTCTGAACTCAATACTGTTGTTTACGTACTTTTGTTTTTTATATATATTTATCTACGTATATTTTATTAAATCGAGTTTCATCCATATTTTCTTTTACATTTTTTTAAATCTTAATGAAAGCCATGATTATCATGACTTAATCAAACATCGTCACAAAAGATAATTTTATAACCTACTTACAATATAATATATTATTTTTTAACTAACCGTACTTGTCAAGTTGTTTCACGCCTGCGCCTGCGCACACACCGTGACCGTTCTTAATACAAAACCTTTGTTTAGCTATAATGAAACGTGGTTTTTCAATACATTACACACTATTTGTTAAAATTAAGTAATATGACTGTAATATTTATTAGTTTTATATATTTTATTGCCAATATAGGCCTTTTGAAATTGTCTAAGTCAATTTAATTTAAAACTTTATGAAACGCCAAAAATTATATTTTACAGAGGTTGTTATTATTGTATGACATTGTGAACTATACACATAATTTATTTATTTTCATCTAATCCATTATGTTATTTATATTTTGACTGAATTTGACTTCGGAGTTTGAGAGCCTATTGAAAAAGAAAAAGCTAATAATAATTTATCGTGTAAGAACCTAATGGGTTAACGGGGCTCCGGCTCGAAGGGCAGGAGTAGGAACGGGGTGGTTTTTAGTCAGTAAGTCAGACACTCCTGCCTGGGCGAGGCTTCCTGCTTCGCCCAGGCAGGAGAAGTCTTTTGATGATTTTCCCCCTTAAAAAAATCACATCAAATTTAATCGCCTTTTCGAAGTAGATAGTAGATTTACTGTGTGATTAAATATTATATACAAAAAGTAGTTTTTTTTACAATATGAGGCAATTAAATTGTAATTATTTTCTTGTTTACAGTCCTTGGATGGGTTCGCGCTTTCAGTGGCAGCAGACGGCAGGTTCCTGTACATATCTGAAACTGTTTCTATATATTTAGGATTATCACAAGTAAGTATATACACGCGTAATATAGAGGTAAATCATTTTAGAATAACATAGAATAAACTAAGTTTGCTGCCGAAAAGGCTGGCAACGCCCCTGTATTCCTTAGAGTTGTCGCGGAGAACCTAACGTGTTACCGGGGCTCCGGCTCGACGTGCAGGAGAAGGAACGGGGTGGTTTTTAGTCAGTAAGAGTCTGACACTCCCTCCCGCCTCACGATAGCAGCAGCAGTTCGATGATATTCCCCCTTAAAAAAAAATGTTGCGATTGTCAATGGGCAGCGCTGATTTCTTACCATCAGGTGATCTGTATGCTCTTTTGCCACTTAACTCAATACAAATATTTTCTTTTAAAAAATCTTCCTTCGCAGTAATCACTTACAAATTGCACAAAAACTCAAAATCTCAAAAAATTAAAAACAAAAGACTAAACACCATCACACCTCATATAAACCTTCTTGATATTCTGTCCACTGCACAAAGCTACACTACTAACACAAACATACATACATACATACGAACAAACAGACTCATTCACACGAAAACACAAATAAGTAGACAGTACCTGCATACGATTTAATCAGTTGGATAAATTCGGCGCTAGAAAGACGTTGTTCCTTAGATGATAGATAAGTCCATACACAAGTGTCGTATAATGTCCCACACGTGGGCAAGTCCACTATCTGTGTACCGACAATCTAAAGGGTTAAGTTTCAACGAAACTTTTTTCCAAAAAGGGTTTTTACTTTCAAGTTTAGTCGGTCAAACTTTGTGTTTTTCTGCAGATATTATTCTTTGGCCTTTGCCCTGCAGTGGGACAGATCATGGCAGAAAAAAAAATTTAAAAAAAATTTTGGGATGTGATGTTGAATTGGTTATGATAATGTTGCTTAGGGATAGGTTTTAGTGAATTTAGGTTTCATTATAAGTGACTGATAGAGAATAAAGTAGATCTCTGATTGAGGAATTTTCATAGGAAAATCGCTGAACAGCCAAAATACTCTCCACATTTCTATATTTCAAATCCAGAAGCTTATGTAACGCAGAATAATTTTTGTAAAGAAAATGAGTGTGCACAACTAAAAAGATAAAACAAATTCACAAAAGCCTGACATCAAAACAAAAACATAAGCAAAATTAAATAACATTACAAAATTAAAAGGCGCTACGGAAAGAGCCGAAAACTGGGAAATTCGTTTCCAAAATGGCTGCAGGGGGTGGTGTGAGTGAGAGGGCAGATGGGGGGAAAGGGACGATACGATATGCCGGTCACGTCGCGGGCAAGGCGCGCGCGTGCTCTTCATTCTAATGCCTGAACACACACACCCCTAAACTCACGCACACAGAGCCCCGAAAACATCGAAACACTTCACATACGCGTGTATGGATAGGCACACGTGTGTGTGTAAGTAACATAAAATACATAAACTTCCTGGTAAATAAGAGTAGATACAACTTTCTTATAAGTAAAGCTCGTGTTAGACGTTTCGTCTATATTAAATTCTGTCTTCTGTTTTGCTTCTGATGGTTTAAGCTATGGGAAGCCATATTTATCATCTTCGTACACGTTCTCATTTACCTTTTAGCTTGGAAATAAAGGAAACTGATTTCGGGAATGTTGATATGAAATAACTTTGCATGTCGTATAAACGAGAACATTTTCAGTTATATCATTTTCTAGTTACCAGCATCAGACGGTGGTGGTATATGTACCGTAGTCATGGGTTAGATTCATGCTTATTAAGATTTTGAGGTGGCGTTGATTTTGGATTTTAGATCGGCTTAGGTATGTGATAGTATGTAAGAAACTAGGTGTCATATCGTTCAAATAATGTTCATCTATAAAACATTTCTTTAAATTCACACATAAACACTAGTCAGTCATCACATCTAACGACCAAATACCCTACAATTCTATTATTCCCATCGTCAAGAAAATTTCCACAATAAAATTCCAACAACGAAAAATTTGTGTTCCATCAATCGGCGAATCGGTAAACACCATAAAATCCTTACCATCGTTCTGAGAACCGACCACCATAACGTCACCATTGTCTTAGGACATTTACATGCAAGCCTGGACTGCGGATACACGCCTACTGAATCTATAATATGGTCCCACAATTATATTTGATAAATTTATTTAAAGATGCATTTGAATGACTCGTGAAAGGGTCATCGTGAAAGTCTTGGCATCGTTCAGATTTTGGATGGATTTTTATTGTTTTCAACCATTTTATTTATGGTTATTGAAGTTGATGTCGCATTTTGATTTGTTGATGATGTGTGTCAGTTGGCATGTTATAAAGTTTACCATTTATTTTATTTTCAATTTCATGATTCATCATCTTGACGATCAAATAATGTTTTTGTGTATAACGTAGCTATCATCATCATTATCTTCAGACACTGGCTCCTTCTATAATAACTTCCCTAGTGCTACCATACTCCGAGACAGCAATAAATTGAAATGATAAGCAAGACTTTATCATACACTTTACAACCTTTTGTCATCACACACGTCAGCAGCGTCTTCGTTTAAGATAATCACATCTAAGTCCCGTTTACCTTCATTCTCATCAATCCTAGTATAAACATTGTCTTGTTAGCCATTTCTATGAAAGCCACCTGCCATGAGATTCGAGATAACTCTTTCATTCATAACATCAGTACGTGACGGGCCATTCAGTCCTTCCTTTGGTTTTGACGACTGGTTTTTAATGGCCAATAACTTTATGAACATAAGCTTGGAAAGGTTGAATGAAAACTCCCAAAAAGTAGGGGTCTTTCCGGTGCTCATGACAAAAATAAATATTTTTATTGCTACTTTATCTCAACATAAAGTTTTTCCCTAAAGAGATAGGATTAGCATATTCATGTTTCGCCTTTTAGCTTATTGTTAGTCCTTTAATATAAGAATAGTCATTCAATATATTTTAGATTTAATTTATTATTAATAGACAAGTTAAACCTAATCCGTATTATTTATCCCTAGGTAGAGATGACGGGTAGCAGTATATTTGACTACGTGCATCAAGCTGATCATGCAGAAATAGCAGAGCAGCTAGGACTATCCCTCACTGGAAGACCTGGACAAGCTGGCCTGAACAGTCCAGCTTCAGGCAGTGAAGAGGGAAGTCAGCACGGAACTAATAACCCTGATGGTAAGTTGGATGATAGCATATATTCAAACAATGTTTTGGGAGAGAATATTGAACGAGGTTAATGCAAAGCCGAATTAATTAGGATCGCAAATTCACTTAGAGATCTTATTTACTGGACTTGCTTTCGTTCCAGTCCTTTAAATAATTGAATGCAATTTTCTTCCTCCATTTTTCTAATTGTCCATTAGCAGTTCTACTTTAGATTACTTCTGATACCGTTTAACGTCATTTAATTCGAGACGATGCGATATAGTAAAAAGTCTTCAAAAAACCTACTGAAAACAGTAAACCGGACAGTTTTTACCGTTACTCATTGTAAACAGGTGTCACATAGAAAACGAGAAGCAACAAGAATTATCGAATCTTCGTTTCTAACAAAAAAATCTGTTCGGAATTCAATTAAACAACGACTTATTTCCGAGGTCGTTGCTCCAACCACAAACGGCGACAATACCGATCTAAAAATTTCACTCAGTATATCGAATCGCCCAATGCTGATACTAATAAGTTGTGTATCAAATTGAAATTAGATTATAGACGTTCACGCTGCGTTGGGAGTTTATGAAATAGTCAATGGGGTGTCAGTAGGAACCTGTATACATCGAATTATTATTTCATTTCAAGTACTATGGGAATGTGGTTGGATGCTGATGATGACAACTGCGCATCAAATCAAGGCGCCGCCGTCATCTGTGCTATTAAGTCAGTCATCTGTTTAATTTTCTAAAGAGATGTGGGTGCCGACTGCTGGCTTCAATTAAACACGACGATAGGCAAAAAATTCATTCGTATAATAATTTTCACCGGCAATGTTATGCGGTCGAATGAATTCTGAGTTTTTATTTATTGTTGTGGCTTCGGCCTGGCAGTTGAAAAACTTGCTTTAAATGCTAGCAATTCCAATTCAATATTTTCTTTTGATTGTTTTGTGTAATTTTTTGGATTCCACGAATGCAATGAAATGGAACGAAATGAATGATTGCTGGAATCGTATAAAACATTTGATAAAAACAGGTGATAGGAGGTCAATCTAAACACACAATACAAACGTTTACATAAGGTTAAATTAAGAGAAAAAGAAGCAAGCAAGAAAAACAAAATAATGAATCAATGAATATTTTTAAGTTACAGTAAAATTTTAGGAATCCATTTTTTGTTGCCCATTAATTTCCAAATGAACATCCCCATTTTTCGCTACACCAATTAAGGCTAGAAAAAAATTGTTAACACATCATTTTTAAACCCAGCCACCTCAGACGTATCATCGAAGGGCTAGAATCGATTTCAATTTACTCTACGCTGGTAAAGAAACTCGATAAAAAAATCAATCAGGATCGAGTTGGATTGACAGTCGACTATTGTATGTTGACGGCCGTGGTAAAATGAGTCACAGAACAGTGATCCATGTTGAAATCATCACATTGTCACCGTGATGACCATGGCGTGATGTTTTCTGGACTGATGGAACAGTGGCTCTAAAAGTTTAAGGATTGCAAAACTACTAGGATAAGAAGAGAAAATGTTAAAATCCACGTCAAGCATTTTCCAGCCAGCCAGATTAAATAAAATGGTTATCAAATTATCTAAGTTTGAATAAGTTAAATGCAATGTATACGAATTCTCAAAAAAATCTTAAAAATACACAATTAAAGAAAACACATGTTTGAAAGAAAACAGGAAGATACAATACTGAACCAGAAAATTTTACAGACAATATTTAGAATCAGAAACACCAGCTGCCTATATAAAGCTTGAACTTTAAAGAAATAATAGAAATGTCGTTGCCATTTAGATAATATCAACCCGTAAACGTTCAGTATGCGGCTCTCCCACATTCAGACATCTTGGGAATATGCCATATTCTGTCGTTTAGCTCTCACAACATTGTCGGTAGCTGCAAAGTCACTAGTATTTTAGATCTTATCTTTTGCAAACAATTTTACATTATCATCGGCTGCCAAAACATTAAAATTTTAAATCATACCTTTTTCGCCTTTGAGAATAAGTTAAGGAAAATACACTCATTTCGTTAGACGAGTCCACCGTATTCCAGGATAGGACAAATTTAAAAACGACATAGCTCAGTATGAATATGGCAAGCATATTTTTTCAAGCTGAACTAGAAGCTCTAGTTATCCTTACGTTTATGATAAGTTGTTACAGCATTGACCAAAATATAATTTTAGGATTGCTTTGATTTCAACAATTGTGTATACCTCTACTAATTTTATAAAAATGAAGCAAAAACTACTATACATACACACTTTAATTCCTCATAAAAAGCTGGCAAATACACCAAGGTTATACAAATATTTGCACGCTGACTCAATCTAGTTTAATGTAACACAACTTGATACAAATCGACATACCTTTTGTCCACCATAATGGTCATTGTACCTATTGCCAAAGATTAAACTTGGAACAGAAACACATGCGAGTTGAATTTTAACTTCGTTGACAGCTGTTGCTTCTTTGTCGTTATATTTGTTACGTCCATTTGCAATAAGGACAATATTGGTCTCTGATATATCATTTTTATTGTCCTTTGTATGTTGTTCAGTTATGTCTGTATTATCTTCTATAAGTGTTTCAAATGCTTCTATTGTATTACTTAAAATAATATAACACTAAAGGGAATTCTCTGGTCTGCATTGGTTAAATGAAAACCACTTACAAGTATTTTGTATTTATTATTAAATTCAAACTAAACTGTACCAACGATTTTGTCATTAAGTGTCTTTAATAAAACCAATATGTAGCATTTTATTCTCACTGCATGTGGCAACGAGGGCAAAATCAAATCTCAGATCAATTTGTTCAAAGACAAAAATAAAAGAAAGATGAGCACAGTACTTTTTATAGACTATTCCAAGGAAATAAAGGAATTAATGTACCTATCGATCTATGACTAATGTTAGCAAAAACTAGCTACTGAAATGGGAACACTAAAAAATATGATAAAAACGATCTGTTACTATGTACTATGAAGTAATAGTGTGTTCAATAAAAACCTTCATAAGATTGGATTAAGAGTGACATTTTGAGAACATTGCCATTCGATTACTTGTTGTAATCAGTCACAATTTTGAAAATACCTTTCCTTATGCAATTATTTTTATGTTAGCATCTTAAAAACTTTTAGAACCGGCTGGTCCAGTGAAATCAATTACACCGTAGTGTCGATCATCCCGATCCCAGTTGCATCACAAACCTTATGATTAGCTACACGTCCACCCAATCAATCAACTCTCACACTGATTGGTCCACTTTTTAACCAAAAATTGAATCTATTTGTGTTAAGATTTGGTCCATTTCTTGGTTTTTTACTTTGATTTTTTTAGCAAATATATCTTTATTAGTAAGGAAATCAATTTAGAGTCGACTAACGGTTCTTACTTTTTAGAATTTTACTCTAAAAGTTTTAACCAATTCAGTACGTAGATGGAAACTTTCAGTACGTTAATGAACTGCGTAAAAATAAGTATTGCGTGATAGCTATAGAACGCAATCTATTGGAATTTATCTATCTTTAAACTGTATTTGATTACCATACATTACAATTACAAATTATTCAAAGATGAAGACATAACAATGTTGTCATTGTAGACGTACTATTTATTAATACCCTATGATGACACTAGTTTGAATTAAAAACAGCGTACTAAACTTCAAATAATAGTAACACTAATTTTGATCCTTGAACATGTAACTATAGAACTTAATTTTAATTTCATTGTTAACAGTATCATCCCAAATGAGTCTAGCGGCAAGTGGGTCGCTGTACCGAGGAATGGATCGAGCATTTTGCGTGAGAATGAAGAGTACGCTGACCAAAAGAGGATGCCATTTCAAGTCTTCAGGATACAGGGTAAGGAAACCAGCATAGCTTACATAAAAAGTAAAGATTTGGTAGAAGATGACAGTTTTAATGATGACAGTTAAGCTGTGGATGGGAAATCGATTGCTAATAATTTTTTGTCATGTAAAATTATGCGTCTAATTCAACTGAATCTTTGCTTTTCTATAATAGAATACGAAGGCATTCATTTTGACATATACTCAGAAAATCATCCTTGTAACTGTTTAAAAAATGTAATGACCAAGAAGACTATGAAAGTTTGTGGACATTTTTCTTATCTAATGTTTAATAGAGAGAAATATATGGACGCTGAATTTTCATTTTCGATCTAGGTTGGAAGAAACAAGGAGGGTGAACCAACGAGGTCCGCTGAGAGTGGTAACTGGCGGGTGGGTATCTTGTAGCAAAGAGATTATTGACAACATTATCAGTGTTTTTGTAAATTATATGTCTTATTCTTTAATCAGAGTGAGTTGTAAAGCAAAATAATCGTTCTAACTTCACCCTTAGACGCGTAAATCACAATTTTCTCCACGTACATCCATGAAACTGTATCTCACAGCTTCATAATCTACACAGCGAGTAACAAATGGATTCGAACGACCTCCTTATCCGTCTTAGATCACAAATATTATTGGTTAGAATTATTGTTAGCTTGGGGTGCCTCAAGGCAGCATTATATGGCCCCATAATTTTTGCCTTAACTCGGTGCTAGGTCATAAAACGTGATTATATCAGAAGCGACTTGCGAATACCGCAATAGCTGAGCGAAATTGCCGGTAGATTGTTTTCGGGGTGTAAATTCTCCTTTAATTTTATAAGCTGTTTCTTGGTCACTTCCTTTTAGACTTAGGGACTCGTTCATTTCTTTATTGCTTGTCGATTGCTCTTTTATTTCCATTTTAAAGGGTTGTTAGGTATTAGAGTAAAAGTTACAACCATAATTTTGTTTTATCTTCATCTTAATGGGTGATATAACTCCGTTTTGGAAACAGTTGAACAATTAATACTGGAACGATTTCAAGTGCATGTTACGCCGACGGCTAGGGTTTTATTGGGAAAATTGCAAATTAGTTGATCCTCCTTACATTTGATCTTAGAATTCGATTACCTGGTAATATGTTTTATACGTGCCTCAGTAACATTACGGTGTGTAACAAATAGCTTTTCAGTTTCTCGTTATGTTTGAAAGTTTAATGTTCTTACATGAGACACGTCCCGCGTTTTCTATTTTAAGAAAACGAAGTAACTGTGAAAGTTTTGATGATGTTTTTTATTTTGTTTTTGTTGTGTTTCTTCTTTGTTTTCGAGTTTTATTAAACATGTTGAGGTACAGAGAAAGGAAGATAGGTTATTTAGGTCTGTTTTCTTGTTAAAATCGTTACAGAAAACAACGGTACTGATGAACATAATTATTTTCATCAGAATAATGATCAATATTTTATATGCAGTCCAAATTCCTCTACGCAGATTAATCAGCAAATGGTTTTATAACATTTCTTTAATGTCTTTCTCTTTCTTTCCAGGTGGTTCTGATGTTATGCCGCCTTCGACCGCAGTATTCCTTTTCCCATAGCCGAAAGTCTCCAACAGTACTCTTGGGCATGGTGGCCCTCGCCATAGCATTACCACCGCCATCAGTCCATGAGATCAGATTAGAATCTGATATGTTCGTCACAAGAATCAACTTTGACTTCCGAATAGCGCACTGTGAACCCAGGTAAATATTGTATACTGTCTTTACAAGTCTGATATTTGAAGAAATGTTAAATTCTTCTCGTTTTCTTCATTCGTATTTTAATTAATAAAGTCTCTCTTTTACTTCCAGCCGAGTATCAGAACTTTTGGGCTACACCGCGGAAGAATTAACGGGGAAGAATCTCTACGCCCTCTGCCATGGTGAAGACGCCAACAAACTTAGGAAATGTCACGTAGATTGTACGTATTACTTTATTATTATATCTTTGTTTATCTCATTTCCTCATTGTGCCATTATATTCAATTGCTAAATCAGATATGAGATTTTGATTACAGTCGTAAAGACGTGCTGCATTTTTATGATTCACCTTTTATTGTGTATTATTCTCATATACACATCTTTGATTATTTGGAATAGTTTTATTGCCTTAGACATCGTAGGATTCTGTTTTCACTTAGTTATCAGGCGTGTAATGAATTTTATTTATTACTTCCTCCAATGAAAGACAGCTTTCAACATTTCTTTCTATAAATCAATCTAGTTAGGCAACGTTAATTGTCGCCTCTATTTCTAATTAGCCTTGCGAGTATCATCAATTGTCTATAAACGACGCGATGTTCACCCATGACCCAATATATGTGGTGAAATCCTTCGTAGGTTAATGTCGTAACTACCGATTTGTATTCAGTTTGTGGTCTATAGAAATCCATGTCAAGAAGACAGGCAGCTCAAGGCGCAAATCGTTTCGAGGAAAATTTATGAGACCGACGTTTGGTGGGAACATTTCTTCTGCAATGATTTTCGATGTTACAGTTTAATATTCTTTTGTTTAACTATCTGCATGGTAATTCCAAATTCACTAGAAATGTACATTTTAAGACTGTATATTTTCATATCTCAGATATTCCATTTTTTCGTGTAATATCGCTAAAAAATATTCCGAGAAATTCTTATTCAAGCAATGTAATCTTTTCGTATATATGATATTATTACTTTCCTGCACATCCGTCAGTGGAATACAATTTAGGCCTAGCGCCATGCCGGCCCGTCTCTACTCACGTTGTGATTTGAATAATAATTTTTATACCACCATTTTGGTTTCCTCTCCCTGTATGAAGACGTGGGAAATGTCATGCCTTAATGTCCTATGAGATTACGTTTTTTCTGTTTTATGACTGTTCCCTTCTGAATTATTGTGTGATTCATAGTTTTTGTTATTTTCAACTTCCTCGGTATTTAAAGTTTTTCTTGTATCTTTTAAACTATCAGTTTCCTTATTGAATTTTATTGCTTTATTATTTTCATTTGTATTGTGTACATGTTCTGCATTGTTTTGCATCGCTTCTTCTATGACAACCTTAGGATTGACGTTAGTCTGTACTTTACCGTTCAAACACCTATGTTAATTCACCGATGAGGAAAATTCGTGACGACCTTAATGTATCTTACTCATCTGAACTCAAACCGATCTAATGTGATTGCTCCACCACAAAAATTCACGACTTCAAGAACAAAGATGACATGAATGGAAGAACTCATAATACTGACGTAATCACCCAACCAATCATCGTACATAACAAGATGGCTGACATTTTGAATGCCAATCACGGTGAAGCGTTAACGTCATGTGGTTCTAGCACCTTACCATTTGATAGCTTTACGAGACCATCAATTTAAATTTAAAATGTACATCTATGTAGATGCCGGTCAAATGTGGACAATCCTGGTCTGGAATATCAATTGTACAAATTAGCATAAAAGTCCGGGTGTTTGTTAGAAAGCGGGTAATTTGGTTACAACTGTATACGCGGTTTGGTTACCAGACGACTTTATTGACGATCGCGAGGCATATGATATTCAAATTTTGTGCATACGTCCAATAAAATTAAATGATTATGTTTGGGACTTCCGACAAGTATGACGCTTTGGCATTTATTCGTTTGTCATTGCCTGAAAACAAGTTGATTTATGTTTTTATTGTGTACGATAATATGTTTTCCGTGTGCCAAAGTACATTACCAGGTGATAATAATACCATTACAAAGTTTAACTCCATTATAAATTCTACCTTCCACCACCACTTAGTCTTTGACAGTACCTAATCATACTGATGGATTCTCATATTGTAGCTCATGTTGTAAGCTGGCTATTATCGACTAGCTGTTTATCTTAAGATGTAATCGAGTGTAAGATTTGAGTAGATTCAAACACTTATAAAAGCAACTGAGATTTGTAATAAACCAGTTATGGTAACCCTATCTTTATCTATGTTTTTACTAGGCTCAATATTTCGATATTTTTACTGAATTTAATTTGGAAACAATGTATGGCTGAATATCAGCGTTAAGGTGTTACTACAGTCGCGGAGAACCTAATGGGTAACCGGGGCTCCGGCTAAACGTGCAGGAGAAGGAACGGGGTGGTTTTTAGTCAGTAAGAGTCTGACACTCCACTGACTGAGGCGAGACCTCACCCAAGGCGGGAACAGTCATTCGATGATTTTCCCCCCTTAAATAAAAAAAAGTGTTACTACACCTACCTAGGTCAAATTTGAATCCGAACATCATTATGAAGACTAGACAACAAATGTTCCATCAGTTTCACTTATTGGCTCTCTACCAAGACCGAATGCATCATAATTAAAAAATCCGTTGCCAATACAATACATCAACAATGCCAAAAACCGTGTTAGTCCTAATGACTCACGTACAATGAACACGTGTTCACTATGTCCTTTGTGTAACAAATCTATTGAATATTATCAAGCTAATATAGGTGCGTTTACTTTTGTTGAAGCTATTGTTTGTGATCATGATGAAGGTCAATCGGTTTGTCTTAGCTCAGCTCAGCTAAGCTCCTGGAAGGTGTTCGCGGTTACAGTTAGGACGGTCACACTTCATTAGATCTTGATTAGGACAAAATTATATTAGGTATATCCAATTCTGGTAGCGGTAACTTAGTTACAGGAACAATGATGGAAGTCTTGAAATTAATCACTTAAGTAACATTCAAGATCTCTTAAAGTTCTTTCAACAGTCTCATTGTCATCATTACCCAAATCTTAAATATACCGATTTAGCAATCGAATTGTAGCGTAACATTTTTAAAATATCCTAAACTTGGAATCTCTTTTTGTTTCAGTAATGAACAAAGGCCAAGTTCTGACACACTACTATAGGATAATGAACAAGCTCGGTGGCTACACCTGGATGCAAACCTGTGCCACAGTCGTCTGCTCCTCTAAGAACGCCGAAGAACAGAATATTATTTGCGTCAACTATGTTATCAGGTAAGTCATATCGAAACATGCTTTTTTAAGACATTCGAAATTGCAATAACATTACTTTAGTTCCAAAATCGCTTAGCTCATATTTTGACTTATTCTTTGTTTCTTTCAGTGGACGCGAGTACCCAAACACAGTAATGGACTGCTGTCAACTAGAAGAGAGTGTACAAGGAGTGAAAAGGGAAGAAACAACTGGAGACCCAGAGAACGGTCCACCAGATACCGACAACTCTGGTGCTCCACCTCCTCCACCACGCCATCAAGCAGAAAGAACTGAACCTCCAACGAACACTGACTCCGCATCATCAGCACCAGTCCCAACATCTGAGGTCACACATTTGACCAGACTTAGCGACGCACAACCACTACCTCTTCACACAAACACAGAAAGAACTTCACCCATGCCAGCTAGAAGACTGAAGAAACGAAAGCATACAACTGACTGCGAAGACGAAGCAGAAAGAGACGAAGAAAGGCGAAAGACTTCTTCCAATCCTGGAGCTGCAATCTCACCAGCAGAGCGAGACATTTCCAAAACCAATTTAGCTATACCTGAAGGTGGGTCGGACGCCACATCAGTTAGAGACTTAGAAAATGCTATGTCGAAGCACTTACCGTCAGTAGCTTTAGATGGCAAAGAAATATCCCATAGACCAACCGACTTCTCCACTGATGCTCTTCTGAAACAGCAGCAACAGAAATCAACAATACAATGGATAGGGACGCAAAATCACCACTTGAATCCTCTGAATAGACAGATACCAGCGAACCACACTTCTACACCCGCGTCAGCTTTGTTAAGACAGCTTTATGCGAATAGAGAAAGTGTTATCCGAAGCAACTTCTTAGGTGATGGTAGAACTGGTGGTTATTATTCAGGTGATGGCCAGTCTGGACCATTACCCACCCCACCAGGTAGTGAAGGCTCCGGCTACGGAGAACAATTAGGACATAAGGGTACCGACATAGGATCTTTAGCTTACGGAGGATACGCTGACTACCATTCGGCTATGACTCCTCCAGGTTCAGTATCACCTAGAGATAAGCAGCAATACGCGTTGCCATACGACAATAGTGCTTATTCTGAAGCGTTAAGACACTCGTATTTAGGTGAAGCGCCTTTACCGTTGAAGCCTCAAGCGTATTCAGCTGTTCCTGGTGCTTTAGACTATGCTTCATCGTTGGACCAGTCGCAGTTCTTCCATCCTCCTTCATCGTTCCACCTGTATCATCCTCAGGCGCATTCTGCCCATGCGTCTCACCCTCACCAGCCTGATAAGTCCGCGCCACCAAATACGAACTGGTACTCGGCAGGCTCATAGCCGAATCTTCGGCCATCTTATTATTAGCAAGCTTCTGTTGAACCGATTGTTGTTAAGTTTTCCCATTTTTTGTTGTTTCGGGGCTCAATTAGATTAATGGGACTATCCCTGATGCATTATTATCGGAAAATGTATACGGTTAAACTAAACAAGACTTCAAATACTAAAATACTCAGTCAACGACAGTTTAAAGGGTGTTCTCTATTTTTTTGGAGTTTATTTTTTAATACTCTTTGGGGATGTGCCAAAAATTGTGCTTTAGGCATGGACCTTGCATTTATATCAGTCGTATACTCTCATATATTTTTAAAGGCAACTGCGCCAATTATCTTGTGCACTAAATAGGTAACTTTCATTTACTAACAGAAGACGAACTTTAAAACAAAAATTGAACTTTTTCTTTTTTTTAATTGTGGATCCTATTCTTAAAGGTAAAGGAAGTTTGAAATTAAAGACATTTTAGTACACAAGAGAATCAGCGTCACAATGATTATAAAAACGTTAAAATATATCGATTTAACAACACAAAATATTCATGGATTGATCGACTTCCAATTTCAAAATTTTATCGATAGAGTACAGCCCTATCGACATTATTGCGTACTTAAAATAAATAGTTTTATTTAAATAATCCAGTGAAATCATGAGCTATAATAATAGCTTTTTGCATATCATTTATAGTTAAGCTTTTTGTAAATTATTGTACAATAGTTTATCGACATGACTGTATTTAGGCGATAATGATAAATAATCATTTAATATTGTAAATTCTAGCATTTAAGTATTGTATATTATTATTATTTTTATTAATCAGTATAAGGTTTCATTGTACATAATTACTTAATGGTCATCTATTAGATTTTAATCGAATTTCAACGTATCGATACTTTTATCGATATCCTTCGTTTCTCCGTCACTAGGAACCAAGCGCCATTACAAAATATTTTAAAACATTAATATTTCATTAAAATTATTTTATTTTTTATGATTAGAAAAATAAAACATATATTTAATTGTCATTGTATGGAACATGACAAAATCGTTTTTTGTAGCCAAAATACTCAAACATTCCAGTTTTTTTTATTATATTCAAGCCAAATACATTTTTTATTATTTTTTTTTTATAGAAAATTGTAATTTTTATATTAATTCGATTAGATGTTATTACAATATTGATATAATTGGTAATATTTATGCTATTTTTAACTGTGCAATACGAGTGGTAAAAGTTAATTTCAATTCTATTAAGGCTTCCTTAATGTATCTTAATATAAGGTAATAATTATTAATAAAATTGTAATAAAGTTGTAATTATTATAATAAAATTTGGGATAGGCTTGTCATGCAATTATCTGTTATTGTTTTTTTTATATTTTCTTCTGAAAATTCAGTAAGTACTTGAATGAATGTCATGTATTTTAATTTGAATCATGAATTTAAAAAGAAGTTTATTTGTCCGAATAAATAAATAATTAAGAATTTTCAATGATTTTTTTATTATCTCCATGATTATACCTATTAAGTTATTACACACCCTGTCACCCAAGCGAGAAAAAAATGATAGAAAGTAAAAATAAAACACGTTTTAAAAAACTCCTTTGACTATCAAAATCAATAATATTTTAAACACTAGGTAGGACCTAAAATAAAACAAAGCATAAACTAAATGTTCGAACCCTCCTAGGTGCCCACACCTCCAGTATGGATATATTTGTCGCGGAGAACCTAACGGGTAACCGGGGCTCCGGTTCGACGTGCAGGAGAAGGAACGGGATAGTTTTAGTCAGTATAAGAGTCTGACATTCCCTCCCGCCTCACCCAGGTGGGAGCAGTCATTCGATGATTTTCCCCCCTTAAAAAAAGTATAGATATATTTACTGATATAGGTACAGGGTGGGAATGACCTTGGGTGAAGTGGACCCATTTTTGAAACCTCTGATCATCGACGAACTATGAATGACGTCTACAAAAGTTAAGGCTGGACTAGAAGCCTAAATTACAATAAGTCTCTTGAGATATTTTATAACTGTAGGTATGAGATACTTAGTTGGCCTTTGACCCTCTCTGAAAGTGTTGACTAACTTTCATTAAACAAAATTTTAAAACATTATAGACATTTGAATTTCTATTTCAATTCAAATGCATAAACCTATATATTTTAATTAAACCAAAATTTGGTACTTTTAAAATGTCAATTTATATAAAATAGATAATAGTCTGTCAGTCTCTCCGACAAAGAAGATATGTTCGTTCCAAAATGTAGATTCGAGTGGAGAAGAACGAGCAAGAAATTCCATTCGTTACCTACCTACCTACTCTTTTAAAAAAAGTACCTATGCTTTACAGTCTCTATGAAAATGTACCAAAAATACGTCATATTTAGTCCGAGGTACATAATTTGGTAGGAAGCGTAACGTAACATAAAGTGCATAGAAAGATGTTTACTACTAACTATTCTTAGTGTCGAATCATGAATTTATGTGAACAAATGTACCTAGCGCCATCTAGTAGCACGTAGTTCCAGATATGTACTTTAATAATAAAAACAATTGACTAGTTTTTCTGTTTATCTTTAGTTATTTTCCATTTTTTTGCGATTTTGAAGCTTATTTTCAAATCTTAAATAAAAACTATTAGTATATCAATTATTTCTGTTTAACAGGACTTAACTGATTAGACTAGTTAGTGTTTAATTTTTGAACTAGATGGCGCTTATTTCTAATTATTCTTTAAAGATCACTTACTACACCGTCTGTATAATTTAAAATTATTTGTGTGTATTTAATGCTACTTTTTATAATAATGTGCTTTAATCAAATATATTATTGATTATGTTATATTTAAATACTATCAGGACTTTAAAAAAAAATCAACAATCAAAGTTCTAACTTCATTTATTCATTATAAAACATTACATTCATTAAAAACAGTCTCACGAACGCTACGATGCTGTCAAAATATTAATACAATACTAATCTTCAGATTTACTACATTACTGAACACTTCATACTAATACCTAGTATACAGTAAATTAATAAAATGATTCAAAATATTTTGTAAATAAACCAGTACAAAAGTAAAATGATTAATACTTAGCTGTGAGTTTACGAGATTCATAATTGTCATGTTCAATGAAATAAAATATGTCAATAGTTTCCTTTTGATCTCCAACAAAAAAAGACAATATTGAAACCTCTTTTATTAAAAGTTGATGTACTCAATATCAAATCAAAAAAAGTATGTTACATTTTAAATTTCCGATTATTAATCTCGTTCCTCTCTTTTTAAAACTGATTTCATTTTAATACTTAGTATTTTTAAATAAAATAAATACTTCAAATGGACGGACTATTTCAAGTCTTACAAAACAAAAAGTACTGCAAAAACAATCATGTTTTAAAGTAATTACAATTAAAGCTAAATACAATTAGGGCACTCAATACATCAAATAAATGCTTTGAATCTTTAAATTATTCTACGGAATGAATATATGGACGGATTTTTACTTAAAATATTCGAGTTTTAATAGCTGTTTACTACTCTAATTACACTACTACTCTACTCTCTAATGGTTCATAATGACAGAAATTCTTTTAAGAATTTGTCCTCCACGATATTATACACAGTGATATTTATTTCATTTTCGTCCTGTGGCAAAACAAATCGCCATAAGGAGTACCTTCGATGATGACTGCACGGTTAGTGCGGTAGCTGGGCAACCGGCTGCCGTGCAACGTATCGCGGGTTCGATTTCCGCACGGATCAACACTTTGAGTGATCCACAAATTGTTGTTTCGAGTCTGGGTGTCATTGTATATGTGAACTTGTATGTTTGTAAACGCACCCACGACATGTTTTTTTTTTTTAAGTTTCACAATCATTCATGGAAATACGCACATGAAACACTAGACGTAAACTAGGCACTATTTGTGTCACTCCACGAGAAATACCTCTTCGACAATTACATGGCTTAATGTTTTGATAATGTACTATGAGTTCGTATGCACTTTCGAAGTTTGCTTTTTGCAATGGGGTGACCATTGTTATTTATTGTTTTAAACATTTTATTTCTTTGTAAAACTATTGTATTACTGAGACAGAACAATTTACTTCGGAACGAAAACGAAATAGTTTTCACTGTGTAATTTGTGTGGTCCTAAAATAAAGATACACTATAAAATGTAATGCAGTAACAATTACATAAGAAGGGCAAATTTAAGTAAAATCGCGGGTTACTCACGTGAATATACTGAGAAAAGCTCTACTAGTTTCGAACCACAGAGGGGTTCTTCCTTATGAGCAGCGTGCGCGGTCGCGGCGACGTCGCGCAGCTCAGTGAGCTCAGTGCTTTTCTCAGTTACTCAGTTTCTCAGAAACTAGTAGAGCTTTTCCCAGTATATTCACGTGAGTAACCCGCGATTTTACTTAATTTAGTATGTCTCATGATAGTTATTATAAGATGGGCTAATCGTTCTAATATTTTTTGTTACATCAATCATGAGACCTCAATAAACCATTTGTTACAAAATAATTAAGTGTTATTTGTTTCTAAATTCATCTTTAGTGTCAATTTATACTCATAAAATGTACATGTCACACTTATGAGTTACAAAAAATAATTAAATATGCGGTTTATACGAAGCTCAATTACAGCAAATAACTAGTTTAGGCACTTCATTTCATACTTACATTGTTAACAAATAATATATTCTATAATCCATACAAATTATTAATTATTTTATTACATCTTATCTTATATCTTACTAGCTTTTACCCGCGGCTTCGCTCGCGTCACAATAGGATAAAAAGTAGCCTATGTGACATATACCAATACATACAGCGCCATCTATACCAATACTTTTGTTTTCCCTCGGGAATATCAAATTTTTACATGATTAAAAGTACCCTATTATTTAATCCAGACTTCTAACTACGTCTGCAAAAATTCAAAGCAATCGGTTTAGTAGTTACGGCGTGAAATCGGAACAAACAAACAAACTCACTTTCGAATTTATAATATTAGTAAGGATACTATTATATAAAGCGGAAGAGTTTGTTTTTTTGTTTGAACGCGCTAATCTCCGTAACTACAAGTCTGATTTGAATAATTCTTTTTGTGTTGGATAGCGCATTTATCGAGGATGGCTATAGGCTATAAAACATCACGCTACGACCAATAGGAGCTGCGCAGAGCGTGTAAAACCGCGCGGAAGTAGCTAGTCTACAATAAATGTGTGGAATGATTTTTCCATACAATTAGATTTTCAAAATAAAATAATAATAAAATAAGTCAGTAACATGATTTGATTTGTGCCGGATTCTATGACGATTTCATTTCATTTAGCTTTATAAAAATAATTGTTATCTTATAACAAATGTTTGTGCCAACATTGGTGTTAGTATTCCACTAATATCTCTATGTTTGGAGATTGCATCTCCAATATAATTTGGTATTGTGAGAACACGCAGAGCCAGCAGTAGATCTGAAAAAATATACAAATTAATAAATAAAGATTATTATGGTTATAGCACGGAATATGGGGCTTTGTCGTACTTATGGCAGCGACTGCCTGGTTGGCCGAGTGGTCGCAAGTGCGACTGCCGGGCAAGGAGTCTCGGGTTCGATTCCCGGGTCGGGCAAAGTACTACTCGGTTTTTATAAATCCTCAGTCTGGAATTGTGCCCGGTATATGGCAATAGGCTCACCCCCTATTACATGGGACTCATAACATAAATAGTGAAAAGTGGGTGTTGTAGTGTTAAACATTGTTGTGGCATAATGTACACCTCTGCGTACCCCTTCAGGGATAAAAGGCGCGATGTTATGATGTAAGTTTGTTAAAGACTGCCTCAATGATAATTTTCGCACGTAAGGCTTTCCGCGACTAGCAGAGGGGTTAGGTACTCTAGACCAGATCAGGATGTACTGAGATTGTCTAGATTAAAACTTATTGCAATAACTAATGATGATCAATAATAACTGAGACTGCCACGTTGGCTGAGCAGTTGCAAGTGCGACTGCCGGGCAAGGGTTCGATTCCCGGGCCGGGCAAAGTATTACTGGGTTTTAAAAAAAATCTCAGTACTAGCACGGAGTCTAGAATTGTGCCCGGTATATGGCAATAAGCTCACCCCTTATTACATGGGACTCATAATATTAATAGTTAAAAGTGGTTGTTACATTGTACACTTGCACTGAGTGCCGTAAAGTGCATGTCTGCCTGCCCTTCGGGGATAAAAGGCTAAAACTTTTGGAAACTGGTAAACTTAGTGCTTGTACAGACTGTTAGATATGTCTGCCACCCCTTCATTTATATAGATAATTTAATTTTAAAGATGAGTCTACTTACGTTGTACGCCATCCAGATAAAATCGATAAATGCAGCAAATGTCGCGTCCAACTGAAACATTATAAAAATAGATTTCAATTTGAGCACATTGTTTTAACAGGGCAACCGGCTGCCCCACAGGCCGCAACATATACCGGGCTCGATGCCCACACGGAGCAACTCTTTCTGTGGTCCACAGATTGTTGTTCCGGGTCTGGGTGTCATGTGTATGTAAACTTGTATGTTTGTAAACGCACCCACGACACAGGAGAACATCCGCATACGACAGAACACAACATATTTTTTATAAAAAAAAAACACAACTGTACTCACATAAATATAATATCCTCCAATAAGCCAGAGTCCAAATAGCAGCTGGAATAGGATGATGAATGCCATCAACCCCAACCACGGCAGAATGAAACCTCGCATCCAGATGTCAATACCAATGATCTGGAAAAATAAGAATTGACTTTAGCACTAAAAATAGATAATTAAATTAGGTTATCATATTCTAATAACGATTAATACCTCTATTATGAGCAGATATTTATAATTTGATCCTGTTAAGCAGAAAAGATCCAGCCCACATTTTATTACTTTTGAGTAAATGAAGTTAAATGTTGGGTTGATATTAAAAAAATCATATGACACAGTACATATTGAATAGATACTGTATTACATGATTTTTCGTTACTGGCCTTAGTCTTGGCCCACTGGTCTTAAGTGCGGCTGCTGGGCTCGGACTTGTTCCACGGGTCTAGCAAACTATTATTTACTGAGTTTTTAGTTTAGAAGTAACACAACGGAGTCTGGAATACGGCATATACCTGGTATATGGCAATAGGCTCACCCCCTATTACATGGGACTCATAACATAAATAGTTAAATAGGTGTTACATTATACAGTGGCATTAAGTGCCTTAAGTGTACCTCTGCCTACCACTTTGGGGATAAAAGGTGTGATGTTATATTAGAAAACTATATAGAAAATGTTTTCAACTTACCATAAGAACAGAGAAAATAATGAGAAGTATAAATATAACAATAAATATACTTCCAAATACTTGTAGAGCTGAAACACAGAATTCAACAATTAGTTACACTTAACACTTTGAACCGAGCCAGCCACCACATTAACCGTGCAGTCTAGTCTTATATACTATTAAATAAAGCGGGAGAGTTAGTTTTTTGTTTGTTTGTTTGAACGAATTAATCTCTGTAACTACAAGTTTGATTTGAATAATTCTTTTTGTTTTGGATAGCGCATTTATCGAGGATGGCTATAGGCTATAAAACATCACGCTACGACCAATAGGAGCTGAGCAGAGCGTGTGAAACCGCGAGGAAGTAGCTAGTCAGTTATAATAATGAACACATTCAACATCAGCAAAATAAAAACCAAATATCATACTAGTTATTTCCCAGAGCATTCTACTTAAACAAAATTCTCATAAGAAACTTCTATCCACTATACACACAAGAAACACTAACCAAGTACTCTGAACATGACAACTGATAGGTAAGTACTTACATCCTCTCACATCAGCTTCGAACAAAGGGTTCCAGAGCTGCGTGGAGTCCCCACCGTCCATTTGATACCCAATGAACGTGATCAACACTATACTCATAGCAATAGTGTACACAGCAACCGCCCGACTTCCACTCTTCACTGTTGATGACCAGATACATGGTGACCAGCACGATTCTAGTAAAGGAGCCATGTTTTTAGTCTAAAAACTCTCCGTAAAGCTCACAATGTCTTGATATTTCAGTTAATTTCACTAGAAAATCTCCCGTGATTAACAGCCACACCTAAAAATAACAGTTATTTTGTAATCGTATTTCTAAGTTAAAATTGTATTAATTTTAATGTTTGTTTGATTATTTTGATTCGATTTTTAATAAATGTTGTTTTTGCTCTAGTTTCTTGTTAGAATAGTTGTTAAAAATTAGTTTCGCACCTTTAGAATGAACACCGATTCAAATGGAACAATTTGTTGGATTTGTTGTTTCTGTCAAACAAACTTTAGAAAGTTAATGCTTTAAATCTTAGCATTTGTATCATTCTATCTCACTTTAACTCATTGCAAAGTAGCTAATAAAGACAGTGATAGCCATTTGAAACTTTCAACTAATGTCAGAGATCAAGACAATGCTGGATGCTGGAACGTTTCCCAAGCCTTGTTGTTTGGTTTGACATTAGAAATAGATTCATTAAACGCAGAATCTCTTGACCGTAATTTATCAGTGGAACCAAATTATATTTTTGTCGTAAAACGTATATGAAATTGCTTTACAATAAGTCATTAATTTTAACAACCTCATAGTTAGCAAATTAATTTTTATTTTAGTAAAATGTAGGTAGCGTCATCTATTGAGTCAGTAATAAACTGCTTTCAACGGATGTTTACAAAAATGATTTAGAGATGGCGCTTAAGCAATATATTACAAGAATACATTAATTCAGTATTGGGCTTGTTTTTTTTTTAATTTCCGCGATTTTTGGTTCGTAACGTGGAGATATAGTTAATCCAACCGAACTTTACTAATTTCACATTTTATTCAAAACAAACAAATACGTTAGGTGCGTAGATTTAACTATAATCGAAATGATACAACAAATTCTTCAGGGAATACCAGTGCACTTAGCAGCTTATTATTAATCTATTAATTTGCATTCAATAGCCATAATCGTGACTTATTATCAATTGATAGAAAGTTTACAAAGGATCTGTCTTATAAGACTAGTTAGGTGTCATTACATAGAGTTCATTGACTTTCATTACGATAGTAAAAGTAGATCCATTCATAAGCTACACCCGTACCGATATGGTTAGATCATTTCGCAAACTTTTGTGTTTTGAACAAAGCATCTACCTACTTACCTACCTACATCAACAGTCTATAAATGCCCACTGCGGAACAAAGCCTCCTCTCACACGGAGAAGGATTGAGCATTAATTACCACGCTTGCTCATTGCTGGTTGGTGATTTCAAACTTATACCTAATTAGAAATTATAAGTCCTCATGATATTTTCCTTAACCGTTTGTCAGTGGTGTCTAAATCAGTCTAAATAATCTTAGAAGGTAGGTAAGTACATAATACGGTAGTTGACAGGTAGGTAGTCAAATTCAATACTTTTATTGATATGTCAAAAATGATAGTTTTCTATGAATTTTGTATTTTATATATTTATATTTTATATATTTGTATTTTATATATATATTTGTATATTTCCTTAAAATTAGCGAGAAAAAACCCAAAAGTAGGTAAATTGTCAAATCAATGGATGAGAGGATGATTATTTTTTTAATTATTTATTGCATTGAAAAGCTAAAACAATTTATTTTAAACCTAGGAAACTAGTCAATTATAACTCGGAACAAGTCATATTGGTACTTGGCGTTGGTTTATAACAATGCAATAAAGTTAAAGATGTAATGGTGAATTTTGACCTGTTGTCCACCGTACCTATACCTCAGCATAATTAATATTACGGAGAACTCATCCATTCATACTCTTCGAGGTTCATGAGTTTTTTGGTAGGATGACTGGTTCTGGTACAGATCACTCTGTGGTCCTCTTGAGGTCGAGCTTCAAAGCTCTCATCATGCGACAAACTTTGAGATTCTCTTGAAATTGAACCTCCTGTCGGCTGTCACAAGCCCCTAAAGTTTTCACAAGCAGCGGGACAGTTGGGATGATGACAGGGTATGAAAATTAAAAATCTAATTAGTCCGTAAGTTAGGTAATGAAAAAATATTAGACACGTCGTATTTTTTTATTTTGTCGTATAATTAAACAATACTTAGATAAAATCAATCAAAGTTTAGGAGTGGGGGCTAAAACGTCATTTTTACGTATGAAATATACATAGAAGTGACGTCACGCGACATTTCAAATCAATATATCGGCGAAAGTATTCGTTTCTGAAAACAAAAAATACGTTTCTAATGATTTAAAAAAATAATCTACAAGACGGACATTAAAATAAAAATGATGTTCATCGATTTATGAAATGACAATTAATACCTAGATGGAAGTAGCTAGTTTGTTGATCGGTAGGTATTTGTATTTAAATCTCAAAAACTTAATTCATAAAATAATCCAGTAGAAAGACATTATTTCGCCGTCACCTCACACCAATCCGTCGATCACATTCACATTGATCAACTGCGTCCATGTTCTGTAATCTGTAAAAATAAAACAAACATGTTGTTACAAAAACAATGACCACGCAACATCTCGGCTGGTTCTCAGAAACGAAGAGCCGTTACGATGCTCCGGTAAAGGTAAGGTGTAAGTGCTAGCGATAAGCGATTTATATACTATGATAAGTAATTATTTTATTAAACTACCTATGTTTAAAAAATCGACTTCAACTCCCTCTTTTTTGAGGTCGGTATATTGATATACTAAAACCTTCTCTTAAGTGTAACAAACACATTTATGGAAGCCGCATCAAAATTTGTTCAGCCAATCGCGAGATAATCGCGCACAAACAAGTAAAAAAAACAAATGAAATGGAATTGAATGGAACGACACCTGACACCTAAATTAAGACTTTGACTGGCAATAAAAAACTGTTGAAGGTAAGTCCTCCGCTAACGCCGGTCACCGGTGACCCCCATGGCGTTTAACGTGATAAGTTAAATTAAATCAAGATGATTTAATTTGCAATCCCCAGTTGCCCAGCAGATAAGAGAGTGCTGTTCATCAACCGGAGCAAGGACAAGAGAGGATAAATATTTTTATATACTCTTTCTACACAAGTGATCGCTATCGGCGATCTGCCTGCTATTCATGATTCAAAAAGTCCCTTCGCAAAGGAACCACAAACAAAAATACAACCGAATGATATTTCTACTTCAGATTTCATTTCATAAAGCGCACGAGTGCAGTAAACATATTCAACTGCTGCAACTATCCAAGGTTTGTTTTCGTCGATCAGTATAGTAAAGAATAGAACTTATTATTGATATGTACCAAAAAAAACTTTATTAAAATTCTTAAAAGGATACCTAATATAAACATGATTCCAAAGCGTGGTGACTTGGGTGGTTAATTCGGCGGCGAACATTTTACCATAAACTGTCAAAATTCCTTGTTCTAAGAACTTATCTTATATTATTATTTTTTACTATTATTTAACCTACTAGCTTTTACCCGCGGCTTCGCTCGCGTCACAAAAGAATACAAAGTAGCCTATGTGACATATACCAATACACACAGCGCCATCTATACCAAAACTTTTGTTTTTCCTCGGGAATATCAATTTTTCCGGGTTAAAAAGTACCCTATTATTTAATCCGGACTTCTAACTTTACGTCTGCAAAAATTCAAAGCAATCGGTTTAGTAGTCACGGCGTGAAGGTGGAACAAACAAACAAACTCACTTTCAGATTTATAATATTATAGTAAGGATTACATGGGACTCATAACACAAATAGTGAAAAGTGGGTGTTACAATGAACAATGGCATTAAGTGCCGTAATGTGCACCTCTGCCTAAGTACCCCTTCGCGGATAAAAGGCGTGATATTATGTATGTTATGTTATTGATATATTATATAATCTCCGAAACTACTGTTCCGATTTGAATAATTCTTTTTATCGAGGATAGTCCATTTATCAACAACATTAAAATATCACGCTGCGACCAATAGGAGCCAAGCAGAGCGTGTGAAATCACGTGGAAGTAGCTGGTTTGTGATATCATTGAGAAATGAAACACTAAAATATCTTCAATAATACTTTTTTCAACCAAGAAATTGAGACCTCTAGCTCCGAAGTCGCAATAACAGCCACTCGCCCAACGAGGCAGCATTGCAATCACAGTATCTAAGCTTTTAATTTGAAAGTATAACTAAAAGCAGTTAGGATAACAATCCGGTTCGTGGTTCAATTAAAACTTGCAATTTTTCCTCTCTGATATTGCGCTGTAACAGTTATGTTAAAGCTCTTGTGACGTAACTGTAGATAAAGGTAACTGTAATAATGGGACGGGTTTACAACAAAGGTTTAATTCAATGGAGTAGTTTATTAATATACGATTAAGAGTTATGGTTCAGTTTGTAACGCATCGATGGTGAGTGGTTGCAAGAGCAACAGCCGAGGAAGAGGTGTTGGGTTCAGTTTATGACGCGGGGCTTTTTATTTTTGTTTTGATGGCGGAAAATTATCCAGTGACTTTTCCCACCCGGGTGGAGCAAGAGGGAGTGTCAGATTCTTACGGACTGAAAAAAAACCGCGTTCTTACTCTTGCACTTCGAACCGGAGCCCTGATAACCCGATAAACCCTCCGCGACTCCGTGTCGGCATCAGCCCTATTGGGCCCATCTATCCTGAGGCGGGGTATGATTGCTACGTAATTATAAGTATGATTGCTACGTAATTATAAGCACAGCTATCGAGTGTAGAAATGCGCTCGATGTTTAGCAATAGCTTCCCCCGTCATGGAGCTCATAAACCTACGAATAGTAGTTGCTACTACTTAAGAGTGGACCTTTTTAAGGACCTGAGAATGGACCTCAAGGGAAGGAAGGTCTTTATAGAGGATTGAAAGGATTCTGGCTTATCAGACACCTCTCTCAGTCAAATAATATGTAAATAGCACGTAAGAACGTGCGCTCGCTGCCATTGCAGAGGTAAGTCCCCTCTTCGTGGAGTTGAGAGACGCTACGGCGTCCTCACCTACAGGGTGACGCAAGTTCTCACCGG